GGAATATATATACATAACATACAATATATACTAAGGGGAATATATATACATAACATGCAATTTTATACTACAACAAATTTATATAAATGGAATATATATACATAAACTTTACAAATATATAACTACAAGGTAAAAATATATTAAAGGGTATAATATATTATATATATACATAACATACAATATATACACTAACAAATTATATAATGGAAATATATATACATAACATACAATATATACTACAAGAAAATACATAAGGGAATATATATACATAACATACAATATATAGTACACTATACTAGTATACTATACTAGTATACTATATATATTATATTTACATGAAGAAGTAGTACTATATATACTACAAAACAAGATTTTTCAAAATGAGGGCCCACCCCCAATGACCACCAACGGTCATATTAATTGCACAAATTAGCCGGTTTTTTTTTAAATTTACAAAACTAACCTTCTCTAACACTATAAGTACCCCCCTCCCTCTTCTTCATTTCAATACTCAATACTCATTGCTCAATCTAAATTTCTCTCAATCTCTCAATCTCCAATTTTCAAGACTTCAAGTCTCAATCTCAATTTTCAAGTTAAATCATGCCTCGTTCGGAAAGAGTGCGCTTATTTGTTTCGCAATACTATGAAGTGCTTGAAGAAAATGAAGAAGGCCAAATATTAAAGTGCAAGAACTGTGGAAGAGTCTTAAATTTTCGTTCAGGGTGTACCACAGGCATTTTAAGGAGGCATATAAAGTATTGTGTTGAGGGTATTTATCCGCAAATTCGTCTTTAAGATTTTTCAACAATTTGTGTTATTTTAAAATTATTAGACGTATTTATGCTTCATGTTGTACTTTGTTATTAATTTATTATGCATGCCAATTTAGTTTTACTATTGATTTGTTATTTTACATTTTCGTCAAACACTTTAATAATTAGATTTCTATATTATATATACTACATATATTTATATAGCAATGCATAAGAGCAATTTATATATATACATACACATATGGTTTACAAGAAATTGCCTTAAATAAAAAAAATTTAAAAAAAAGCCCGGAAATAAAAAAAGCCCGTTAGGCCCGCTAAGCCCACGAGCCCGACCATTTAGCCCAGGACCATATGGGCTTAGGCCCGTCACGGGCTGGTCCTACCCGTTGAGCCCACGAAGCCCGGGACCATGAAGCCTGGGACCGCCAGAGACCGGGACCGCTAAGCCCAGGCCCATTTAGCCCGGCCCGTTTAGCCCATTTAGCCCGGCCCGTTTAGCCCATTTAGGCCCGGACCCGGCCCACCATACAACATTAGGTGCAACTGATAAAGTGAGACAATTCCGAGGGGATAATTATTTATTTTTCCGAGATAATACATAATTATGCCCCTAAAGTTATCTCATTTTACCAGCTGCACTCTTATACTTTGCGGGGTGGCATATGACCCCCTTGTCTTTATTTGAACCGTAAAAAATACCACCTTCTATGACTAGTACAATTCTCAACTAA